TTTGCTAAGGAATGTGATACAGTATAACTCAAAATCGGCACCAATATGAGGATAAATGGAAACACAAAGAAGGAACTTAACATGCCTGTGAAATACCTTTACGCTCTCAGCACGTCAGTTACCACCTTGAGAATAGTTGTGCCATTATTCGTGCAGCTACCCTCTGCTGTATGAACTTGTTTTCTGGGAGGTGGCTTGTAGTGGCATTGGACCATAACCACACAATCCTCAAAGCTGAATACGAGATTGCTCGGAAAATAGGTATTCAATATTTAACGCGGAGAAATACCTAACAATGGAGAAGGCGGGAACAAGGAATTGAATGGACTGTGTTTGATTGGATGGCATGGCTTGGCCATGCAGGCGTGGTCCATCTGAATGTTACCTTATATCTTCTATTCATATTAAATATATTGTTCCTTCTCTAGCCTAACCTTGTTCTACATCATGTATTGGTAATCGATACGATACAATGAGTTGGCGTAGTCGATGGTATGACTTCCACGTAAGACCTTATAGATTAGGCAGTTATATCATGACAAATCTACAAATTTAGGATTAGGTCTATTATTAGAGCAGCATTAATATCATAGTAGACCATAGTTCTACAGGCTAACAATTTTGGCGATGCACATCTTCGAATCGTAGGAGTTCTGAATGATATTATTGTCGAACCGCTGACAAAATTCTTTGACATGTCTCTGAGTCACTCTAAACTGTCAACGGACCGGAAGGATACGACAAGTGATTCAGTCCACAATACAGTGGTAGTGATGGATAAATGTCTTGTCGATGACTATCAGGCACTTAGTCTAGCCAGTTTAGATGTCAATCTAGTGAAAAATATTATACGGGCTGCCATTCTTAGTCATGTGAGAACAGAGCAACCTCTCAACAAGAGAGCAAGAAGATTTTAGTGAAAATTTTTCATTCTTGACCTGCCTTCTCAACATAAGGGAAGATTAGACTCTAAAGAGATATAAATATATTTATGCATGTGATTCCTACGTATATGAGTAAAGGCCTTAATTAAAGTTGGTAAACGTTTGCAATCAGTCATGGGGTCAGGGATCGAACAGTTGATCTTCTCAATAATAGAAGGCGATATGTAAAGTAGGCGAAGCTTTATCATCATGTGAATCCGTTACAAGTAGATTTCCTTTAGGGACTAAAACAGAAACAATAAGCAAGTAACAACCATAAGGATGGTGATTATAATGTCAATGAATAAGATCTAGCGTCTACATTTTACTCTAGTCCGTTTTGGAGCTCGGTCGACTGATCCTCTCGTAGCTTACGATCCAAATTACAGGGGAGCCAAATTCCAGTTCAGATAACATAGATCATTCGAAAACTACAAGTATTCAACCTTAATATTTTGTTCTCCAACTTTTAGGTTTTCAGAGAGAAACTTTCAAACACCCAATCGAAAAAATTAGTGAAGCCGAAAACTTCCTAGGCCAAAGATATCAACAAACAAACTGAAGTTTCGAGTGAATTAAATGTATCTAAAACAAAGTTAACTTAGAGATACTCACTATAACTGCTACTAATCAGCCAAATACTTCATTTCCTAGAAAGTAAGTGACAATGTAGAGTACGTTCGAACTGATGAATGGAGGGCGATTTCATCGGTTAGTGTACTCAGTCTAATCGCTGTTCTTTGAGAGAACGGAAGACCATGTCGACGTATATCTTTATCAAACGTCCCCTCTTTATGCAAACTTTGGCTGTAAATCCTTCTCATTTCTTCAGCGGCCAGAGTTCCTTCAGAATATCCTGAGGATTCGCTTCCCTCTTAACTGTTATTCAAATCTTGACGTCAATGGATGAACTGAATGCTAGTAAAGTAAAGTTTTTCAGGAAGATCTTTCATAAGAGCGAGATGTGGAGCTACAAAATGACACACTGTGAAACTGCGGATGGAGATCTTATTCTCAGGAATCTGTTTACCTTGACACGGAATATTTTTCCAGCTTGATGTGAAATATGGGTAAAGGTAGATCACTGAGGTCAACTTTCACTAATTTCCTAATCAGGAATGTTGACAGAAAGAAGTTAAACGCCTCTGACAAACAAAGAACTATTATATGTGCCTCCTCATTCTAGTCCCTGTCAGCCACCTATCTGTCGAATGTCAAAAGGAGGTTAGAATCATATGGTCTTCATTTACTGGACTGAGTGCTCCATGAAAAGTTTTGTTATCGTATTCCTTCATCTGACTATGGTCAGAAGTTTTTGTGAGGTTAGAGAATGTGGTTGATAGTGCAGCTGGTTTATGATATGTTGAATTTGCTCAGTCCATATGAAAATTTTACAGGAAATGGCCATTTTCCGAACTGCCGCTGGTTGATAGGGTCCCAGTTCGTGAATTAGTAAATTACACACTGGTATACAAATAATCCCTTATAATTACTTCCTTCTAGAGACCCACTAGACCTAAGGAACTATGGACAGATTGGTGTATTTTAGGTTAACTTGAATCTGATTGGCTGACATGGCTTCGGAGGCTTTCTGTAGGTCTGTGTCCTAGTGTTGAGTTCATTTCGTGGCGTCAGACAAAGGGCATAGCCAGAATACATGAAACAAAAATGCAGCATATTCTAGGTTTTTTTTCACTTGAAGAAAACTCTGTGGCTCACATCAAGCAGCATTTTCTCCTACATGACCAGTCCTTTATTATTTGATATGGCTTCGGACTTTATTTCAGTTGCGATGATTTCCGCCACTTCTAAGACCATTGGTTATGTTTGGGATTCTCTGTCATAAACGTGTAGACAAATTGATCTTGAGTACTTCCACATAGCTTTTCGTGACGTTGTTGAAAATGGGCGTAGCCTTCTTGAACGCAGACATTTGTCGACTGTATGTTGGTTATCGGACTTCATGTAGCCATGTTTTTCGTAAATCGCATTTGTATCTACTGTACCTTGACAAACCTACAGTCTTGATAGTATCAGTGAGGTGTTTATTCAATCACACTAGAGACAAGACAATTTTGATTGCGTGGTTTACTGAGTGATGGCTCGAGTTTACAGCTTGAAGTACGGGATTGAACTGCAGGTGTTGTAATGTCTACATTAACCCGCTGAACTCCCTGATTCTTGAGTTTTGTAGACATAGGGTACATGGAAGTTCTGGAAGTGATTTATCGACTGTGTGTGAAGACGCTGTAGAGTTATGGTCTATTACGGTATTAGTACTACTATAATAATAGACATAATCCCAAAATTTTAGATTTTTCGTAATGTGACTACCTGATACATAAGATTTTACCCGGGAGTCGTGTTGCTCACTACACTGACTCGTCCTATCGTTACTGTCGGTAATATAACCTCTAGCATTTCTCAAGAACACATTTGAGCTAGGAGGAAAGTAATAAATTTGATGCAAAATGAAAGAGGTTATGGTGTCCGCGCCTGTATGACCGAGTCACACCATCTCAGTTACTTGCTCCCGCGTTCACCAGCGTTGACCTGCTCTTGCTGTTACATGTTGAGTATGAATCTCCTCAGTAGTTATACATATCTTCAAAAATCGTGCATTTAGGAATCAATACCACCACAAAACTTCAACTTCTATTTCATTTACACTTCACGTTCGAGCAGTAACATTCGCTTCTATGCTTGTTCAGTTGTCAGTGACATCAGAGGGGAAACGAGTTTCAGCAAGAACTATAAGTCCGAATTAGATACATACTTTTATGAGTTGTGCTATTTCGCCTTACGTTACCGTAAAACTAATGGGTTATTTGTGTCACTAAATGTGGTAAGAGGAGAAACAATTTATTTAGTTTCAGCACTTTCCTACAAAAGTTTCGTATCCGATAAGTCCAAGGATTTCAGCAACCCTTCCAAACAGGCTGTCAAGGGTCAAAATTCATACACTGAACCATGACGTGATCTTGAATTTAGTCAAGCACAACCTAACTGTCTATAGTTTAGCAACATGCAACAGTAAACTAAGTAATATGACATACGTCTTTGATTAGGATAAAAAAACAAAAGACTCGACAAGCATGACTGAAGAACATAAAGTGGGTTAACAAGAGACCTGAATAAAGTTTATAATGCATAACAAAGAGAAAAAACAGATAAATGAAAATACTGTCCAATAAAATGCTCTGGAGGGGTTTTCAGTGTGTTCTTTAAAAACATTATTTAAGTGGATTATTAAAGTAGAACTTCTAATTAGATGAAAATTACAGTCACCAAATTCTAAAACTCTAATATGGCCGTGATTCAGGCCCACTCTAGGGTCCTTTATCACTTATTTTAGCGGAAGATTGGTAGATGGAAGTATTTCTCTTCATATTCAACCTAATTTATATCCTCGGACGTCAATATTTACAGGCATTTGTAAAAAGAGGATGAATGGTTTGTTATGCTAGAAATTAGGATACGGATATTCTTCTAGGTTTTGCGATTGTAGATGATGACAGTTCGTGGCTAAAACTCTGGTTCACCAACGTAGATTAACTATGTCGAATAATTGGGGACCCACTTGAGTTAGACAGGGATGGTGTGACAAACAGATAACGTCAAAATCACATCTTGCGGTCAGCACCTGACTTGGATTACCGCTTTATCGTATCAAGGTACTGTGAATGATTCGAAGACCGTACGACACAAATGACGTTATTACGGAAATATATTGGTAGGAATGAATACAGAGAAGATAGTAAGACCGTCACCGCATTGGCCAGCCTATGGCATACGATTAACCGATGAGCATTAGTTGTCAATGATCTGTTCGATATTCAGTGACCCAACTTATGGATGATTTGGCTAGGGCGCAGTGACATTTCACTAGCCCTACAACTCTAATACCTAATTTGAACTCCATACACTGATTCTCAGTCTGATTTTAATATCTGCACCATGAATTCTTTTGTTTCTCACTGTTTCGACGGTTTGCTCTAGATTAGCTGTTCCCTGTCTCAAATTGTTATTACTTAAGGTTCTGCACGACTTGTTTCATTATTGGAATAGTGAGGGATACCTAACTTGTCGCGGTCAGTTCAGTTCTTCAAGGCCAGTGTCCGGTTTTCTTAGTTTAGAAGTTACTGACTTAAGCTATTGACGTCAATGGAAATGCAATGATTGACGATGTATAGTGAATTCAGTAGCAACCCGGGATCTTCTTCACGTATGTTTGTGCTTTGGAAGTATTTATTATCACAGAAACTACTGCTGTCATCCAGGTTTTTGAAGATATCTCCTCGAAGATACTTAAAATACGTCTACTGGGTATGTTATTTTTCGAACGCCTAAATATTCGAGTAGCAAATGAGTTGGAAACGCTGAACAAAAGCATAAGCATAACAGGAAATTCAAAGGCTCAATCCGACCTTCTGTATGCTTTTTGTTTTTTAAATGTCTGTTGTAGTAATAAAAGAGAAAAAGATGCCCTGGAGCTAGTTGACGATACCAAAAATGTGTTCATTAACCTTTCAAAGCAGCCTTTATCGGATCAGGTATGGTTTTTCCTATGGTTTAGATCAGCTCTAGATAACGAAAATTCATGTTGAGAAGCTCAAAGTTGACTTTCAGCGTGTGCTTCATCGGTTTCAAAGAACTCAAGCTGTGAGTTTTCCTGGAATCCTTATTTAGGGTTTCAGCCAGTTTTGGGGGTGAATATTTCGTCGTTCAGCATTATGCTAACAAGTTAATAAATACGGATAAAATTCTTTAGGAATAATGAAATTTATTTGCTAAGAAGTCTGATGAAAGCTTTTTGAATAGTTATTTCTTTATATGATTCTCGACATATAGTTCTGTCCACGTTTTGCTGAGCTCTAAAGTGCCAGTGTTTTAATATCAGTACAGTACATTCAAACTATGTTCAGGTCTCTACTGAGAACTGTACACTATACTTGCTGTGAGATTGCGGATATAATCCAGTTATTGATAGCTTACAAGTGTCAAATATTTGTTCAGCGTCCTAATTTTTGTTTGACGACTATCTAAATGATTTTCATTTGGTCCTTCATTTGCGGTTGCCCTAGGAACGTGGTTACATGTGCAATGCAGTGTGTTTCATTTCTGTTTTTAGAGGACGTCATCTATCCTTAAATTTTTACTAAGATTGGAATTGTTATAATCAAACTGTCACATTGATATCTCAACAGCTCACGGTTTGTTTACAGAAGTCTAAACAATAAGTCAAAGTAAATATTTAGGTCATTTAATCTGGTGGCAAGGACATGACAGTTAGTAACAGCCTACAAATGGTTGTTTCTATTCAGCGAGCACTGGTTTTAACGAAAGGACAAAGGCTATTTCTATAACTTCAAGTAAACTAGTTTTGTTGAACAGCACAGAAAGCTCCCATTTGCACTCATACGGTAATTAATTGAGGTTCTTGTATAGAAAACATAATAAACCATCTAGATATCTAGCTCAAACTTAGTTTGTTGATCATTCCTCCAATTTTATTCAGTTCCTAGAACGTTGGTTCACTGTTGCCTACCACTAATCTTTGATTTTACTTGAACTTAGTGTCTCCCGCCGTAAGATATAGGGTTTTATGGGTCTGATCTAAAAAAATATACCATACCACCATTTTTTACCATTGGCAGTAGTTTTTCCTAAATTATGGGGTGGTATAAGTGCTTTTAGAGGATTTTCGTACAAAGTGATAATTGAGTGGCATTCATCAAAAATTTGCGTTGTTACCACTAGTAGTCGCCTTTGTCCCCTACGTACTAATTTAGTTGGTTTACTCGAATTCGACCTTCTTGAGTTAAATTACTATAATAGGAGTCCTCTAGTTGAATCAGTTTACAAAAGGCGATTTCACTACGTAAAAACGATTAGAAGATTATTCTGATCGAACTGAAGAAAAAATAACGGTTTGTTTTGTGTTTTCCTGTAAAATGATGCTGGAGTACCTGTGGGCTTTAATATATAAGATGACATCGTCAATAATTTAGTTCCTGACCTTAAAATATTCACAATTTAGTGCATAAAGCATCATCTATTTACTGGAAAGCAATATATTTAAAAAATGATTCAGGCTAACTAGGTTGAAATTTCCATCAAGCTACCAGATACATAATTCTATTTCCGAAATTTGTGGTTAATGATTAAGGTATGCAGTAGGAGCTGAACGTGTCAGGACTCACTGAGAGTATTGAGGTATAGGACAGAAAACTGTTCACGGTAGTTCTAATCGTTCATAATTCTCATTTTGTAATGCATTCACTTTGTATGTTTTTAGAATGAGTGTCGGGTTTGGCTAATACACATTATTATCAAAATATTGACTGACAAGTCTCAAAATGTGATAAATACCAGCTGATCTGATAAATAAAGCATAGCAAAACTGTCTAACGTCATGTTGTTATGACTGTGAAACGTACTTGGGTATTGTCTGCTACAATTAGTGCTATAACAACAGATCATCACCATTTCAACAATACATTCATCATTACAGTTGAATATAGGAAGAATTAAATAATAAAGGACTAGAGTATAGTTCTAAAAATTACTAGAAACTAAAGCATAAATATAACGAAACGTTTATAATTCTGGGACTTTTCATTGTGTCTAAAAGCGTCGTAAGTACAGTGATTAATAAACCTTATTGTGTATGCTTAACAACGGCAAATTTTCTGGGACATTTAAATCATGAAATACGTGGTTTAACCAGGGAATACTTTGCTGAGCTGGATCATTGTATATAAATGTAATCATACGATAAGGGGAAAAATGCCATTTTATGTATGAGATTATGGTAATAAAATCTGCTACACAATCTTGCAGATATCTGTTTCTTAAAATGAGCGTAGTAATTTTAATTGAGAGTTGTCTGGTCAAAATATAAAAAGGATGCTGGTCGATCAATAAATGTAAATGAAATGACAGCTAGTAACTTCTGATCAATAATATAAAAGATGATAATCATTAAAACCACTTAGTGAAATTAAAGCCATCACAAAAAATTCGATTTAGCAGAAATTTTATTTCTAACTTCAACTAATCCACGAAATTGAGCGACACATTCACCATTGTCTTCAGTGAGTTACTACCTCACAACAGACCTGGTTGAACTCCACTGGTCACTACTTCTCACTAGTGACTGGCTTCACGAGGTATATCCTGGAGTTCTAGTGAGAAGTAGTGACCAGTGGAGTTCAACCAGGTCTGTTGTGAGGTAGTAACTCACTGAAGACAATGGTGGATGTGTCGCTCAATTTCGTGGATTAGTTGAAGTTAGACATTAACACCGTTGGATGCCAGTTCAGTGGTCTAGTGGTTACGTGCTCGCGCGCGAACCTCGCAGGGGGCGAGGTCGTGGATGCGCACTGCTGAGGAGTCCCACAATAGAACGAAACGGTCGCCCAGTGCTTCCACGTTTTCCATGGTGGTCTAGCTTCAAATGACTCATGATCTTAACCATTAAAATTACTATAATATCCACAAAACCCATCTGATAGTAATTTTATGCTTACAGTTTTAATCTTAGATTATGATCTTTCAAGGTTTCTATAACGTTAGTTACGTTGCAAGATAGTTCTATCACCTGAATGTTTCATGAAATCAGTTGGAAATTGTGATAATGTTACTACCATCTAATTCTAGTGTAATCGGACAGAAGTTATAGATTGTGTAAATACTTCATGTTTTTTTAAACAAAGTCTCGTATTGACTAGTACTGGAAGATGGAGTGTTTTGGTTTCGTTGTTTGTATCTAACTGTTATAACTTGTGAACGCCGATTAGAGAGCAGTGACTTATTGATCGGAACAATGACTCGTAAACCTGTATGAGCAGCCTAGAGTTCTGGTTGGTTCTGCTTTCCGCCTAGCCCAGCCTGTTAAGTCCAGAACGCCAATCTCAGCCTCTGCGTATGAATCATTATATTTCAAACGTACTGAGTTTATATACCAATCAAACAGACCACAACGTACCAATAAAATATGAAACAACATTTGTACAAGAATTATCCAGATGTGGCTGTGAATGAGGGAGGCAGTGACTAATAGACAGGGAATAGTTGAAGAATGGAAAATCGTATAATAACAGTTCATAGGTTAAATAAAGCTTATGATAAGAGAGACATGAATATGAATGGTTTAGTTAATTAACAGTTATACGGTAAAAATATACGTATAGTATTAGTCCACAAATGGGTCCCAAAAATTACCATTCATTTTTATCGGGGCATAACACTAACGGAGAAAAATAACAACCACTTCCCATCACAACCTTCACAAATGTGATGTTCTTTTTATCGTGACTGGTGGTGTGATACTGCTCATTTGGACAAATTGTCTTTTACTCATGTAAACGTACTACTATCTAAGGGTCAGTACAAGGGGATACTCGTATATAAAGTAAAACGACTCGTGGAATTGCGGTTAAGAGCAGTCACATTCTTTAAAACAGTAATTCTAATAGTTTTCGGAATTAAAACATCCCAGTTATATGTATTCTTTTTAATACCACTATAAAGCTTTTTGTAAGCCCACTTATATTGTACGATTTCTGACCATTCCTTGGCTTAGGAAATCAAAAGGCGACTGCTTACTGAAAGTCGTCCAACTTCCTCAATTGTTGGAGATTTGATTAATTTGGATTCAAGTGATACTGATGCAGGCCAGTTTATTCAAGCACAAATCTGCACCTCCCAAGATTATGAAGTTCAGGAATTGGGACTAGCGTTAAATCAGGAGGATCAAATGCGTTCTATAGAGGTGGGTTTTTAGATTTGTACTTTTAACAAACCTTCAGGTGTTCTGACAATGAGTTCCAGTCAGTGTATTTGTAAAACAATACTAGTATTGTATAAGCAATGTAAATCTGTAGACTTAGTAATACCGCGTATTTATTTCCTGTCCTGTTTACATGAATTTTCTCGTGTACGAAGATGTTTCCGTAAAAATTTTCTTTGATGCTATATTCCAACTACGTACAATTTTAGGTTTAATTCATGCATATTTTTCTCTCAGTCTTAAAATTAATGCTTCATAAATTCTCACATTTAGCTTACTGAGTACTTTATTCATTGACGGATACTTAAAGATATTCGAGTCTTCGGAGGATATAAGCACCACATCTTACGTGAACGGCTCATTCCTATTGTAATATCATCACGAATTATTGATGTAACTAATATGTTGGGTTAGGCATCCAAATGAAATTTTAAAGCTTCATTTTTAGTGATGAAGGATCTCTTGAAGTGCTTTATGTAATTAGAACGTCGTTTTAATTCTACCATATCCTTTTAATGCTTATTTGCTAATATTCACTATTCTATTAGTAGTAACGTCCAGTCTGTTGGAACAGATAAAAAAGCTAGTGGTTGGATTTACATAGATGCTAAAATCACAATATCACCTGGATATATATATATATATATATATATATATATATATATATAACAGTATGGCAACTTGAGGTATAAAGATAAGAGAGATGGCCTGACCAGCTAGCAGATGACAGTTTTCAAAATCAAACATTTGGTTTTTGTTGTAAAAGATAAGTTATTTAATATATCTCTTAACTTTCCCCAGCTGCAAATGTATTCGTAATACTAATCTATGGAGTAGGGACTATTACAGTGGCCCGAAGTTGATACTGCTGAATCTCAGTTAGGCTTCCTCATCAATTTCTGATTTGTTTTTGTTTTACAGTGTTATTGTTCCTTAGATGTCTTGGTCAAGCAAACTAGCTATTTAAGGGTCAATGATTCTGCTGTCTCATTGATTCTAAACTCTTACATTTTGTCCTGTTCTGTGTTGAAAAGAAAATATTTAAATATCACTATGTAATGTGAATGTGAGGTAACATGATATTGTTCACCATACTTAGCATTATTGATTTGGAGTTTGGTGATTGATTGAATATTTATTTCTCATATGTAGGTGTAATTTCTAGACTACGCATACAATTGTGTGTACTTATTTTCGGTTTCTAAACTATATGTTGTTTGGTTGCAAAATGAAAAATTCTTCGGACGAAAGTTCCTAAACTTAACTGCATTAAAGTGTGTGCAGATATATAAGTATATGTAATACTTTTATATCAATCTATTGGAAAAGCATGTTTCTTATTTTATTAATGAGATATCAAACTTCTTTTACTAACTTGTCGACAAATCAACCTCAAAGTAGTTGTTTAGAAATAGCTAGACTGGCTATTAAAATTCCCAGCTATGATCTTTAAAACCTTCCGGAGCACTGTTAATTGATCAGCTGTAATGTTTGGGAAATCTGGGAACTTGGAATACTGTATTTTATTAGTATTTATTGTACCATAATTCGGTGTTTGTTTGAAAGAAGTTCACTGACACAGAATCACCTTTAACTTTTAAGTTAACTTAAAGGTTTATGAGGCAGTTAAACATCGAGTAAAGATCTAAACATTGTTGGTGCAATACATTGGCTTGATTTACAGTTACTGAACTCTTTGTTCTAAGTCACTTTTATCCTTTTGGTTTAGTTAACTATTCGTTATTGTCGACTATTTAACATTGGATATGGCATGTGGGTCATGAATGCACTAATTTACACTTTTTTGTGACTCAATGGTTTACGCATACGGATCTCATTAATTTAAACACTACTCCTCGAACTATAATTTACTGAGTAGTATGATTGATCTTCACTTAATGAGTAATATTCACAGCATTACCAGGACGAGGCAAATAAGTCGCGAGGTAAAGTCATTCAAAACTGCTTCTAGGTTCAAAAGAAGCAATATAAGTGGAAGTTTGAAATTTGGAAAAGTTTTGTTCAGTTCACTTAACTTTCGGTGATATCGTTGGAGATTGTTCATATGTACCATTTTTGACATTTTTTCTGGGTTACATGTAATCGACAGTGTTGTTTAAAACTTATTTAAAGAATTATAAATAAGAACTTTTGTCTAAATTTGAACGAATAGTTTCACAATATTTGGGCGCCGAGTTAATGTGAGTCATTAAAGAGGGAGAATATATATTTGTAAAATCTCAGCGAATGAATTTTAAGTAAATCCAACGTTTCGCTTGGCAAACTGGTCCAAGCTTTTTCAAGGAAAATATAATCAAACAACAAAATTATCGAATATAAATAAGTACATGGTTCTCTGGTTTACTGTATACTGAATAAGTTATCCAATCAACGTTAGCAATGTTAAAGTATGTATTCACATTAGTGTGTAAAAGATAGGTGGTGTGAGGCGAAAAGTGTTAAGATAACATCACAATTGATTGATCACTGAATGGTGATCAATGTCATGCTTGTCTAGTCCTTATTAGTGCAGATCGAATGCTATCGATCATGTTGTAATGTGGCCACCAGTCTAGGTGATTCGACACTGCGGGCACTATGTATTGAGATTAGATGGTGGTTGGAGGTAGTCAACAGGAAACCCTGGACCCGGGTTTCGTGCTACTTGGCACTCGTCAGCAAGGTGTACCTGTAATCTTGAGGGAACTGGTGCTCCCTGGCGGATTCGATCTCGTGTCACCCAGCTTCACAGTCAGAGACGTTACCACTGAGCTATCCGAGCCGTGACTGACCTCCTGTAGGACTGAGATGTAATCACAATTGATTGATCACTGGGTGGTGATCAATGTCATGCTTGTCTAGTCCTGTGTGTATACGTAAGTGATGTGAAAAGAAATCTCATTCAACTATATATTGTCTTCGGTTTGTGTATGTTAAGAAAAACATATCATTTTATATATGAAATGAATCAAAATGTCACAGCGTGCATTAAATGAAGATAAATAAATAAGTAAACAAGGTAAAAGACTAAATTCAAAGAGGAATGTATTTGTAATTGAAAGATTGTGTTATTTTAATGTTCCAGTCAATTGTTTGACATATTCAGATAAGCTAACTGATTCGAAACCGTTGATTAGTTAATATGATATAAACTGATCAAATGGAATAAGGAGTTCAGGTTTACTTATTAATTATTAGTTGCCATGGGACAGCTAGTTGTATTCCATCTCTCCTATTAATACTGTTTGAATTAGCCCATATATATAGGGCTTCGGCTGTTAGTCGTTCTTTGTAAGAATTAAATCCTTTTTGAATGATTCTTGCGCCATTGAAATCAACTGTATGACCCGATTCAATCGAGTGTAATGCTGTCGCCGATTTGTTCTCAAGCTTTCTTACATCATCCAAGGATTTAGGAATGTGCTTTAAGCACAGTTTGTGTTCCTTCACCCTCATATTCAGTTGCCTTGATGTTCCACCTACATACGTTGCATTACAGTCATTACATTTGATTTCATAAACACAATTCTGTTGTTCATCCTTGTGTATTGGATCTTTGATTCTTACTAGTTTCGATCTTAGAGTATTGTTTGTTCGAAAGAATACTCTTATATTTTGAATAGTTAAAATCCTTCTTATATCTTCTGAAATACCTTTACGCTATGGGATCACGACTGTGTTAGTCCATTCTTTTTGTTTAACTCCTTTTTAATAATATCATTTTAGAATATTGAAGATTCCCATTGTGAAAATTAGAACAACACATATAAACGAATAATTGTTTTCAATTAGATCGTCATCAGGCTTTACTCTAATATACATGAGTATTTATACGAAAATTTTAAACCAATCAAGGCGATATGGGTCAATAATCACTATGAAATAGAATAAGTCACTACACATAATAGGTAAAAGTACGGGTTGATAGTAGGAAGACAGGTCTGTCTTTTCCATGTCTTTTGCTTTCGCTACCCATCACTGTACAGGACCATTGCGTAGGCTTCTTATCAACCTGCGCCTAAGCTGATTCCACTCTTCGTCATGCTCACAGCCAGATGGGATGAGTTTTCGGGCATCTATCAGTGCGGTCGATGCTGCTGAGATCCAGTATTTCTCCCTGACCTTATGGCTTACCGTACTAACAAATACCATTGCTGTTTTCACAGATTTTCGGATGTCATTCCAAGCTGCCTCGGGGTGGGCATCACTTACATGGCTGCCTAACTGTTTTTCTAGTTGTTCCTAAAATATATTCTTAGCTTGGCTATCATCAAGTAGAACCCTAAGAGGTTTCTTCGCAGCGTCTTTCCTACGTTCAGTAAGACGTAGACGAATACGCGCTCGCACTAGAGCATGATCTGAATCTAAGCATATGAGACTGTCTACTGGGATCCAGTCTAAGAGAGCTAGTTCTGCCGAAGGACCCAATGCTTTACCTACACCAGCGAGGCCACGGGAAGTAGCATCATGGCTACCAGATACACGAAGCCTGAAACGAAATGGTTCTTCATTTTGATATGATGAGGTCAAATGAATGATGCTACTCGGATCCTGTATACGCGTTTCGGAGATGCAGCATGCATCGATGGCGCGAGGTTCTTGAGACCTAGCTCAGGAAACCTGTTGTCCTACTTGGCACAGTGTTCGGACGTTGAAAGCTCCTACATGTAGTTTAGAGCGTGGTTTCAAGGGATCAGGAATAACGTTCCGCGTACTTGAATAGTTTGCATTAGCGGCGCGAGGTGATAAAGGAACGTGAGAAGGGTTGGTCGTGGAGGTAGGAGAGTTATTAAGTGTAGGAAGGACTTGATTGTGACCAACTTGGTCTCCTGTGCTGTTATGGGTATGAGGGCTGATATCACTTGCCGTCTGCCCACACTGTGGAAGATTTAGACCATAAACTGATATGAAGTTACTAATGGTTCAAAGTAAGTATGAATATTTGTATATTGCCCCTCACTGGTATTCAATATCATACATCAAACTTTCGGTTTATTCATTGAAACCCAGTGTTTCTATTTTGATCCTATAATCTAGTCTCTTTATTGAAAATCATCTAATAAAAACAAGATATATTTCAGCGAACTCCGTTCAATAGCTTTGTCAACAGACTGTACAGTTATAACTCCATAATGCTTGTGTTACAATGGCAAAAATAAGGCATACATAAACTGGACTATATTTTATCTTAAAATAGTGAACTTTTTCGTCGATTACTTACTTGCTTGCTTACTTACTTGCGCCTGTTACTCCCAATGGAGCATAGGCCGCCGACCAGCATTCTCCAACCCACTCTGTCCTGGACCTTCCTTTCCATTCCTATACAATTTATGTTCATTTTTCTCATGTCTGTCTCGATTTCTCGGCGTTATGTGTTCTTTGGTCTTCCTCTTTTCCTTTGGCCTTGAGGATTCCATGTGAGGGGTTGCCTTGTGACTCAGTTGGGCGCTTTCCTTAATGTGTGTCCTATCCACTTCCAGAGTTTCTTCTTCCGCTGGGATCTGGTTTGTTCTCTCTCACAGTAGGTTGTTGCTGATAGTGTCTGGCCAACGGATCCGAAGTATTTTGCGTAGACAGCTGTGAATAAACACCTGTATTTTCTGGATTATGGCTTTCGTAGTTCTCCAGGTTTCCGCCCCATATAGTAGTAGTGTCTTGACATTTGTATTGAAAATTCTGACCTTGGTGTTGGTTGACAGTTGTTTTGAGTTTAAGATGTTCTTCAGTTGTAAATATGATGCTCTTGCTCTACCGATCCGCGCTTTCACACCTGCATCAGATCCACCATGTTCATCAATGATGCTACCCAGATATGTAAAGGTTTTTACACCTCCTAAATCTTCTCCTTTAATTGTGATTCGATTGTTGCATGCTGTGCTGTATCGGAGAATCTTGCTTTTCCCTTTGTGTATGTTGAGACCTATTGCTGCTGAGGCTGCTGCTACACTGATGGTCTTCTGCATTTGTTGTTGCGTGTGCGATGGGAGGGCCAGATCATCTGCGAAGTCTAGATCGTCCAGCTACATCCTAACCGATTTTTCATCGGTTACAACTCAAATATCTGTCATTTATAGACCTGAAAAGTCTTTTAAGAAATGGGTGGAGAATCAGTTGTAAGATGTCGATTTACAATCAGTATAATGAAGCAAATCATTTAGATAAAATGTGTAACAAGAGAAATGTTATATGTCGGGTTTATTGAGATGATAATAATAAGAATAAGTCGTGTAAATGTTTTATATAGTAAGAGAAATGTTGTCATGGCAATTATGATAAGAAATTCATATAAATTTAGGGTGAATTTGAAAATTTAGAATGGGGCAGAGCAGAGTTACATATAAAGGGAAATTGTGGGGTAAGAGTTTATAACTTGTAGCTTATGTCTGTGATGACTCGACTATGGGTTACGGTAAACAGAGAAGCTGAATATATTTCCCTTCAATACGTAATTCTGGGTTTTTTGAGCTGGGCTTGATGGCTTCAGCTATTTAAAGGAGCCACAGTTTTGTTTCTCAAGTACTGTTTGAGATTTGATACAAAACTGAGGGTTTCATCTATTTTAATGTAGTGTTCATGTACCAATTGAGGAGGAAGCGGTATTGTTAGAAGTTTCATGAATCCTTTTTCTGACCACTCCTGCAAGTTTCCACGGAAATACAACTAATTTTTGTGTCTTAGTTTTTTCACGAACAAGACATTTTTGTCGTGAGTGGATTCCATGTATTTTACCGGTGTAATTTACTCAAGCTAGGATTTGAATAAATAAACTAAATTAAGTTTCCTTCTCGGCCATATCTATTCGGTAGTTTTGATAATTATTACTAACATATTTCAAAGTACCCACTAGGTTGATATTGAAATATAAAAAGTGTCATTTGAGTTCATAAGTAGGAATCATCTAAATAAATTCCCATGCGTCAGAACCATAATAGGACCATGAAAAAGTTATCAAATAATTGCGTTATTTCACCTCATACTACTAACTTTTGTTTCAGTAGCGTAGTTGTAGTTTTAGATTTTATACCTTACAGAACGTAAAATGCTTTGTGACTGCTTTGTCATCTCTTAAAGAATCCAAGCAGAAAAATATAGTAAATGAGGTTTTTTCAATAGTTCTTTCTAATTTTCACTGTCTTTCTGTTAAAATCAGCCAGCAGCTTGGTCTATCGGATATTTATATCAGGTCCTACATTGGACTGAGACGATTATTAGCTACTAATCTTTGTCTGGCGTTTGCATCCTGTTTCATTAGAGAAATTAAGATTTACTATGCTACTGATACCTTCAGTTGCAGATAAATTATGACATGTACTAAAGTTATCTATTAGCAGTAGGTAGATGTATAAAGACTTCATGAATAGTATCATAATTCTGTATATCTTATTTTTGGTATGTATTGAATCCCACATTGGTAATCAGATAAATGAACTTTGGAATTAAAATTCTTAGAACTATCATAATTTTAGCATTAAATTAGGTTAGTTATTTTAATTGTATACTATGAACTACCGTTTTCCTATCATTTAATTAATATCACACAATATGGTTTTTTGTTTATTTCTCGTCTGTTGTCGTAACATAAATTATTGACATCATATTAATTGACGTCACTGGCCCTTTCTGTAACTTCATTCTAGCTACACAGTGAAGATGTTTCATTAATATGTGCTCTGGGCATTTTAACTACATCTGTTGTGTTGGGATTGACAATAATACTTATTTTTCCCAGTTAAAATGTTTACAATCCTCTGAATGTAGACTGAATAATAAATCCGTCATTTCATTTATAAATCTCCGAAAACTACTTACCGATGTGGTTGTTTGATTTATTTGTAACCACACATATGCCAAGTCTATTTTGACCAGTTTCGCCTTTGTCATTGAAGCTGAACAAATTTTTGCCTTGTTGTTTTTATGGTATCGAATATAGATCAGGTAGACGTGTATAGCAATGTAGATCAGCGTATCTCAATAATACTAGTCTCAGTAGAACAATACTTGACTCCTAACCATTTATCTAGTGAAATGTTTTCTAATACATCAGTTTTGTGATTTGAAGAATAACGTCTATCTGTTAACATTTTTACATTTTCAGTTCTTCATCGCTCTATTGTTCATGTACCTAAACTCTTTCAAATGAGTTTATAATTAAATCACTTTTCGTATTATATATAAATTGGTAAAATCTTCTTAAGGTAATGAACTTTGTCTGTTTCTTCATTTGAAAGCGTATTGGTAATGTGTTTCGTGTACCTGTTTCATTTTGATCGAAAAAAATAAACTTAACATTTTAGTATCTTTTAACTGGTTATCTGTGAAATTTAAGATGAGCGTTTTATCCTATTCGAAACTCATCGTCTGAGTTCACTTGTATTCTATTATTAATGTTCATACCAAGACTTGAAATCAGTACCTGTCACTTTAAATATCAATGCATTATACACAAGCTGTTGGATCTATGTAACAGCTACCTTGATTAGCGGTCGTGTAGTTGTATTTAATGGTTTAAATCCTCTCACTGTTTACATTAAGCACTGTTACTAATCAGTCCCTATAGGCAAATCTGAATCCTGTGTTCGGATTGACACGATAATATTGCCGTTAATTATGCTAAATTTATATATATATATATATATATATATATATATATATATATATATATATATATATATAATCAAACCATTAAATTTTATTTATATATTTTAATGTTTTTACTATTCAGTCTAAAAACATTTTACATTTTAGGAAGATATTGTGAATGTAAATGCAATTTTTCATCAACTTTCTGAATTAGTATATGAACAACGCAGTGCTATTGATTCAATTGAAGACAACATCGAAGTAGCATTAGCTAATGAACAGTCTGGTCATTCAGAGCTAGCAAAAGCTGCTAATAGACGAGTAAGTTGTAAAGACAATAGTCAGATTTTTTAAAAATCTTGGTGTTATAGTTTAGAACCTCGTCAAATATCGAGAACTGGTTTATTAGTTCTTAAAGGCGTATTATAAATATGCGGTTTAGTCATATATATAGTGTCAAATTCACTATGGAGAATACCACCAATCAATAGGTATGATTCGTTCTCAATTACTCAAGTTCGTGTATGGTTATTGAATAGTTTTGTTATATTACGGAATGCATAATCATAACGAGTTCAGTAATATTCAGACTAATTAAGGTCACGCACAAGAAAACTAGTGTTTATTCAAATTGAAATCAGGAAATACCAGCAACAAGTAATTTCTGTGTGTTAACACTGCGGTACTGTAAATATAGATACATCTAGGCTAATGATTTGATAACCTGCAGTTATGGTATTTCCCGTTAAGAAATTCGATGAATTTAAGACCATCCAAGGAATTCAAAAAAGTTGGCAAACTATAGGAACAAGCAATAGCGGAAAGTTAAAATGATGCAACTCGAGTAAGGACTTTTTTGTTATATGATACACACCAGTAAATGACTGTGACTAGTCTTACGACTGTATAGGTCATTCGTATAGAGTAAAATAGCGAGTTTTAAGACAAGTTCAAACGATAGGAATTACGGGGTTTAGAGTATTGTTAATTACTTACTTACTTACGCCTGTTACTCCTCGTGAAGGAGCATAGGCCGCTCACCAGCATTCTCCATCCAACCCTGTCCTGGGCAATCCTTTCTAGCTCCGTCCAGTTGTAATTCATCGTTTTCATATCTGCTTCTATTATCCGACGCAATGTGTTCTTTGGCCTTCCTCTTTTTCGCTTCCCTTCAGGATTCCAAGTTAGGGCTTGCCTCGTGATGCAGTTTGACGATTTGCGTAATGTATGTCCTATCCATTTCCATCGTCTTTTCCTAATTTCTTCTTCAGCTGGAAGTTGGTTTGTTCTCTCCCACAGAAGGCTATTGCTGATGGTATCCGGCCAATGGATGTTGAGTATCTTGCGTAGACAGTTATTTATAAATACTTGTACTTTCTTGATTGTGGTTGTTGTAGTTCTCCAAGTTTCAGCTCCATACAGTAGAACTGCCTTGACGTTCGTATTGAAGATTCTCACTTTGATATTGGTTGAAAGTTGTTTTGAGTTCCATATGGTCTTCAATTGTAGGAAAGCGGCCCTTGCTTTGCCGATCCTCGCCTTTATGTCTGCATCGGATCCTCCTTGTTCGTCGATGATGCTTCCCAGGTATGTGAAGGACTCTACATCTTACAGAGTTTCGCCATCAAGTGTGATTGGATTGCTGTTCTCCGCTTTGAATTTGAGGACCTTAGTTTTCCCTTTGTGTATGCTGAGGCCTACTGATGCAGAGACTGCTGCCACACTAGCTGTCTTTTTCTGGATCTGTTCGTGTGTATGCGATAGGAGGGCTAGGTCATCTGCGAAGTCCAAATCGTCTAATTGATTCTGAGCTGTCCATTGTATTCCGTGTTTTCCTTCAGATGTTGAGGTCTTCATAATCCAGTCGACCACCAGAAGAAAGAGGAAGGGAGAGAGTAAACAGCCTTGTCTGACTCCGGTCCTTACTTGAAATACATCTGTCAGCTGTCCTCCATGCACTAATTTGCACTGTAGTCCGTCGTTTGAGTTCCGGATAATATTGACAATCTTCTCAGGAACTCCGTAGTGTCGAAGAAGTTTCCATAATGTCTTCCTATCTACACTGTCGAATGCCTTTTCATAATCAATGAAGTTGATGTATAGTGATGAGTTCCACTCAACTGATTGTTCGACGATGATCCGTAGTGTTGCAATTTGGTCTGTGCACGACCGATCCTTACGGAATCCAGCTTGTTGATCTCGAAGTTGGGCGTCTACTGCATCCAACAATCTGTTGAAGACTTTTCCTGGTATTGACAGTAGTGTAATGCCTCTGTAGTTTTCACATTTGCTCAGATCTCCTTTCTTTGGAATCTTGACGAGGTGTCCTTCTTTCCAGTCCATCAGCACTTGTTCCTCCTCCTAAATCTTTTTGAATAGAAGATAAAGCATGCTTGTGGTTGCTTCGATGTCTGATTTCAGTGCTTCAGCTGGTATGTTGTCGGGTCCTGCTGCTTTCCCGGTCTTGATTTGTCTGACGGCCATTCTAATTTCTTCCGTAGTTGGTGGATTGACATCTATAGGAAGATCTATGTGTGCTGCTTCGATGTTCGGTGGATTCATTGGAGCCGGCCTATTCAGGAGCTCTTCGAAGTATTCTACCCATCTGTTACGCTGTTGTTGAATTTCGGTGATTGGCTTGCCTTCTTTGTCTTTGACCGGCCTCTCTGGTTTACTGTATTTCCCTGATAGTTTCTTCGTTGTATCGTAAAGCTGTTTCATATTTCCTTCTCTAGCAGCTTTTTCTGCCGTCGTTGCTAGTTCTTCAACGTATTTCTTCTGGTCGGCTCTAATGCTCCTCTTCACTTGTTTGTTAGCTTCTATGTATTCGGCTTGTGCTTGGACTTTCTCTGCTCGTGTTCGGCTGTTGTTTATTGCTGCCTTCTTGTTCTTCCTTTCTTTGATCTTGTCCAGTGTTTCTGTAGAGATCCATTCCTTATGATGGTATTTCTTTAGACCGAGAACCTCTTGACACGTTGAAGTTAATGCTTCCTTGATGCCTTTCCAGTTGTCCTCCATGCTAGTTTCTTCTTCTTTCAGTAGATGTTGTAAGGCTTGGAACCTGTTGTTGAGAGCTATCTTGAATTCATTGAGTTTGTCAGTATCTCGAAGGAAGGCTGTATTGAACCTTTGTATTGCTGTTTGTCCACTTGTCCAGTTCTTTTTTAGCTTCAGTTTCAAATTGGCTACAACTAGGTGGTGATTTGAAGCTATATCAGCACCTCTCCTGGTTCTCACATCTTCCATTGTCCTTCGGAATTTTTTGTTGATGCAAATATGATCTATTTGGTTCTCTGTAGTGTGGTCTGGTGAGATCCATGTAGCCTTGTGTATACGCTTGTGTGTAAATATTGTGCCTCCTATGACCAATTTGTTGAATGCACATAGATTTGCAAATCTTTCTCCATTTTCGTTCCTTTCTCCCAGTCCATGTCGTCCCATAATATCTTCATATCCAGTGTTGTCTATTCCGACTTTGGCATTTAGATCTCCCATCAGAATAGTTAGGTCCTTTCTTGGGCATTTCTCATTGATTGACTGCAGCCGCTCGTAGAACTGATCTTTAATTTCGTCGTTGCTATCATTGGTGGGTGCATAACATTGGATAGTATTCATTAAGATCCCCTCCTTCTTTGTTTTGAATGATGCTTTGATGATTCTGGATCCGTGAGATTCCCATCCTACAAGTGCATTTCGTGCTACTTTGGACAGCATAAGAGCGACTCCCTGAGTGTGTGGAGCATTTTCATCTTCGTGACCGGAGTATAGCAGCATCTCTCCCGTAGCTAGCCTTTTCTGTCCAGCTTGGGTCTAGTGGGTTTCGCTGATTCCCAGTACTGCTAAGTTGTATCTCCTCATTTCCATTGATATTTGACTGGTCTTCCCGGTTTCCCACATTGTTCGAACGTTCCATGTACCTATAAAAATTTTTGCTCTGGTTGTTAGAAGGGGCATCGACCTCGTGGCTTCCGAAGGAACTCGGCTTTCATCATGAAGCGTCATAATTCTTCTAAATGAAGACCTTCTAACTCCCAGGGCAGAGTTAAAATGGTTTGGATTATTTTTTCTGGTAAGCGTTTTTTTAGCGAGTTAGTTTTCTACGAGATGGGGACGCTAACCCCATGCCCAACCCTCCTCCTTTACCCGGGCTTGGGACCGGCAGTAACTCTAGAAGAGCTACAGGCAGAGTATTGTTAATAGTCCTTAGAAATATAACGACATGCTACTGGCGTAGAGAGAGTAGGTGAACAACATATAGATGGGTATAAGAACCCTTAAGCGGTCTGGATTGTCGTACATCATGACTAAAAGTTTGTTGTTTGGTAGATTTATACCTGTCTGTGCTTGTTTATATTCCTCTCATATGTACAAACAGTATCAAAATAACATACATATTTTATAACAAAAAGGTAATCTGGTCGTACGCGACACGATGATAAATCAAATATCAATTTGTTTTGTTGTGCGGTGTCCGATCTGTTGTTGACAAACAAGCGTGCTATTTAAGTACCCAACCAACTAATTGAGTGAAAAGGGAGCTTTTTATTGGCAAACTGATTTGAGAAATAACTCTCTCTCTCAATATATATATATATATATATATATCTGCACCTTAGAAATGCACGCCATTTTTCCACCAATGGAGTGTCTTGTTTCTTAGAAAACGAAGTCAAATATTGATCAACCGTATGAAATTACCAGTTGTCCAATATCTGGTTTATCTTCCATATTACAACTAGTTGACTGATCTCGATAATCTAGTTCTACAATCAACTCGTTAAAGTAACACTTTCGTAATTGCTTTTGAACCTGTAAGATCACTTGTAAACTCTGGGTTGATTAGATCTAATTATCCAGTGACATACTGTAGGATTTAGTCATGAGTTCAGTCACTTCCCTAATCTTCATATGTTTGTGAGGACTAAAGCAACGTTGGTGATATATGAACCTTAATTCTTCCGTGCTGGTGATTTATGAATACATGTTCAAAATCACTGAGAAGGCTCTGCATCAGTTTGTCACGAAAATAACAAATGTTCTTTTGCATTACACGACAATCTTTTTATCAGAATAGTCACAACTGGTGACTATCTATAATTAGAGTCAGGTAACGTTCATTTAGATCTACCTTTTGTGGTATCTTTTACAAAAGGTAATCGATTAACTTCACTTTTTTGATCTTTTAATTGTAGTGAAATATCAATCTTAAAATTATGGATAAGTTTATATAATTTTTCAGAACTCAGAAAGAGTAAATTGATGTTTAGTTAAAATGAAATTAAAAGTAAACCAGCAATAAGTATGTTCTAAGTGTTACAAATACATAAACTGTTTTTTTTTGTAGTACGTACTGCATTTGTTTTGTTTTCTCCATAACTTAGCAAAAATAAAACTGATTAATTTTTTTGTAAAATAATCATCAACATGATAAACAACCATTTCCTTTAAATATAATTGTTTATCTATCTTTTATTTACTTGTAGCAAAGATCTCGAAGATGTTGTTGCATATTCGTAGCTGTTTTAATTGTGGCTATTTTAATTGTGATAATTATCTTGGTGATTGAATATCCTCCAAAGCGAACCCAGTAATAAAATACACCGTATGGTTATACATATATCTATCTATCAGTATCACGTATATTTTTTCTGTATTATATAACTTACTAAGACAATTGTTCTTTGTTAAGTCTTATTCATAATCGTGTCATCCGGTTCTATTTATTTAGTTTATTTTATATACATAGATTTCTATATTATTGACTATAATTCCTTTCCAATATCATATAATTGAATACTTTACAAATAGCAAAATCGATAAATAATATTCGAAAAACAGTTTTTTTCTTGTAAAAAATCATATTTTTGTTTCATTTTTATTTTATAAATTAACGGATATAGATGTTTTATTCTTTTACACATTCATAGTATATCTTCTATTTTTTATTATATGTTTGTATTTATTTAGTACTCGTTTTCGTTTCCCCCCTCTCTCTCTCTCTTCCTCCCTCTTGTTTTATTTCAACATATCTCCATCTGATTTTTTTTATAAAGAAAAAAACTATTTTCAACAAAAAAAATTGAGAAAACTGAAAACAATTAACAGAACTAACTGGAATAATAATTTATCATTAATATTTAATAAAATAAAAAGAGAATAAATGGAATATCATTTTAAATGATAAAATAAATATACATATGTATAATTTCTTTTTAGTGTTGTTTTTCTTTCTTTTTTTCCTCTTTTTTTTGTTTCTCATTCTGTCAAAAATATCTTGTATCGAATTCTAATTTATAAATACAACAATAAAGACAACAGTAATAGTAATTATTATTAATAATAATGGTAATAATAATGAGGATAATTTGTAAACAATAATAGTTATTTTCATGATTATTGTCATCATCATTACCATCAATAAAATCATTATGGTTATTTTTTTTTAAAAAAAAGTCGACTTTTCTGTTGTCTTACTGTTTCGATTGGGTGTGTAGATGTTGGTGCCTATATACTTTCTTGCTAATTACCAATATATATATATATATATATATATATATATATATATATATATATATATATATATATATATACGGATTCCCATGGAAGAAAAAAAATATATTTCCATACAATTATGCATATTGATAATGATATCTGTTTGTCTTGAACATCATGTTTGGTAAGTGTTGGATGTGTGTACATCGTTATGTTTGAATTTCTTTGTGATTTGTATAGTTTTTATCATAAACTATATAGATTAGTTTTTCTTATTTGAGGCAAATGAGAGAAAATTTGGAATAACTACATTTACAGAGAGAGTGTTCTTGTATTTGTATATTTCTTATTTATTTGTTTGTTCTGACTAAGGGAAGACAAATAGAGAAATTAGCTCAACAAAACGACTAGACTGAAACATTCAATTTTAGCTGATTTCTGTTTCACACACACACACATACATACTTTCGTTCTCACCTGAATGTTATCCTTTTTTTTTCATAAATTCTATAAAATTATTGAGGTCATTCAATGTTCCTCAAAATATTATTTCAATTATTATTCCCACTGTTTGTTTTTCGCTTGATATATTTACAAATTTTTCCCAGAGATAATATTTATGTTTGTTTTTCGGTTGTTTAATGTTTACACAAAAAAACGTTTGTTAGAATTGGTGATCGAGGTATATGAAAGTGGATTGGGGGCGGAAGTGATGAATTTGGCTCATGTACATACACTCAGTGCCATTATTTCCTACGTAAAATAATTAAATATTTTTTTATTTGAATTTGCAAAACAGGGATCTATTGATCAGCGTTTCAAACGGAAGTGTTGATACTGGTCGGTAGTGTCTAAAAAAATAAACCTGTTGTATCTTTTCATTTTTGTAATTCCTCCTTTCTTCATTGTTTAGTTTCTTCTCTATGTACTTATTTACACTATTTGACCGGATCAAACAAAACTAACAGTGCAATAAGAATTATTATTACTCCCACTAGTGGTAATTGAGTTTGGATTGTTTGTAATATCATCTGTTGTGTGTTTCGACTGACTGGATTTCAATTTAATACATTGATTTGTATTCGATGTTGATGTATTTATTGATGGTAGTGTTGTTGGTGTAGTATTTTGCTTCAATCTATTTATTTTGTTATTTATCAGTACTATTCGTTCATGTTGTGGCCGGTGTTGTTCTTTTTCTCCATGTTGTATCAATGTATTAACTGATGGTGAAGACGATTCATATTTCATACAGTTTTTCGATTTATGATATTCATTTGTATGATTAGTAGTATTATTATTTCGGTGTTCATCAGAATTATTATATTCATTGAATGATAAGATTTCTGCTTTTTGTGGAATCAAATTAGTCAAACTAAAAGCTCTTTCTTGGCGTGTAAATGATTCTTTCTTGTGAATATGACCAAAGGAATGACAATCATCAGCGATTAAACTATTATTATTGATATTGCTTTCAATATCATTACTGTTGCCCTCTTCTTCTTCATCCTCGACAACATCATCTTCGTCACCTTTAAAACCTATGCATAAGTTTGGTTGCGATGCTTGTATTAAATGTAAGCGCTCCAACATATGCCTTTGATTATTCATATCGAGTAATGGTGTATACTGTCCATTTTTATACTGATGATGATATTGAGTCATTGATCTTTTCATTGAGTCATTACTACTGTTGTTGATAATGTAATTATTATTGTTATTAGTATTTCTAAAATCTCCAGTTATGATTCTATTAAATGATGATATATTTTGTAAATTAGGGTGTTGTCTTGTTTGTAACGTTTGGTAAGTATTACCTATTTACAAGTGAAAAAAATGTATTAAAAAAATTCAACTATTTTAACAAAAATATCTAGTTGAAAAGAAAAAACTCATCGTTGTTATTGTCAGTCGTTCTACTAGGACTCTAATTGGGCCTTTCGTGTAATTGTTAATAATGTAGTGTTAAAAGTATTCAGTTGGCAGCTATTATTTTGTATATTGAAGTTCATACTTCATCCTTTTTTAATTTTAAACGTGAATATTATCACTGTATCCATATTCGAGTATACGATTGTGTACCTTTTTCTTTTTGCTGAGTTACATTAAAAAGTTATATCAGATTGAATAAAGAGTACTATGACATTTCAAAACATTCATTTTTTCAATAATTGACAAAAATGATGTTGATTCAAAAAACATCTGCCCTGATCTGATTGATGCACTTGATTATGAATTTTCTCTGTTTTTTTAATGGATAACTGCTGTAACATCAACAGGTAAAAAAGTAGTTCAAGCCTGTGATCGATTCTTTAGTGTAATACTAAAAATTTTTGGATCACAAACGATAACATTGCACACTGTTATACAACCGGGTATATATATATACATATGACGGATTGAATAGTGTGATGATTTTTTTTTGCCTATGGAGGTATGTCATCTTAACTAGTTCGGCTAGTAACTATGATAAAAATTGATCACTCGTATCCTTAGAAGTAAAATTAGTTTTAAACACAAACTATTTCACCAACATTTAGTACTAAGTCTTAAGATTATTATTTCCTATTAAGGTTCTTCATTTAACATCGACTTTTTTTCATTAATTATGTTTTAGATTATCCCTGTTTCACTATCGTTAAAATCTGAGAGTTTTTTTGTATCTACTGTTAACTTAATCCATTTGGATTCCCTTTTTCTTACCGGTTAAATTGTAATGTCGGTTGCTATGTCAAACCGATGTAGCTTATTTTAGCTCCCGAACAGGTCAATTACTTCATTCGTGAGTCACATTTTGTCACAAAGTGATTTAGTGACTTAAACAGTTATTTATGTCACATTTTGACCTTGTTAGTTATTCGCTTATCAACCTTGACTTTTTATGTAAGAGTGTGTGTACATTTCTTATCTTACTCCTCATCACATGTCTGTAACTTTTTTTTTTCTGACTAAATATTGAATAAAGCTTAATTAAAGTGAGTTGACTCACTCGCCTTCTTCATTGCGCGTCATTTTGTTTTGTCTCGCTTTCCGATCAACGATTGTACGAAGTATACGTGTTCAAAAATCCGTTTTTGTATTCGACTTATTTAATTCCGTTCTTCATGAATGTGATTTAAGTCGATAATTGGCGACATGCATATTTCAATAACAATCAGAAACTATCAGCCTAGAGTCAGATACAGGACCATTAAAAAAATGTGTATTAACTTGTAAAGGTTACTTATTTTTCAAAGAAGCGATATCCACGGAGTCTTGAGACTGTTTGAATTCGCTATTCTATTCATTAAGATAATACAATTAAATCATTTGCAACATAGAGTTCTTTAAAAGTGTATTAAACATCCATGTTATTATGTATGAATCATTATGACCTAACGTTGTTACGAGTGATTAACATCTCAATTTCAGCACATATCTCTCGCTTTAGTATATGATAATTATTTTATATTAAGTATTTCTGTTCGGTTTAATTAGTCTTTTTCATTATTGGATCCCAAATGAAGTTAAAAGAAAGTCATTTTCTCATCTCTATTTATTTAGTTTTCATGTATACTCACTTTCAACCTTGTTCTGATGTTGAATATAATGCATTTTAATCTTGTTGATTGTTCCAATCCCAAACAATCTATTTCGGAATTCCTGCTGCTTTTAATCTATTACAAATGTGTGATTAAAACAAACTCGATACTATCTTACTATTGTCAGTTGGTGGTTGAATTACGTGAAGGAAGTTTTCTTTCCCAAGCTATGACTTACACTATCAATTTATTTTTCGTCACTAATGTTTCTTAAAAACGTCTGCTTAAAATTAAGAAGTTTCACTTAAAGATTGTCCCAACACTTTGAGTCATCGAAATTGAATCCCTTTAATTCGGTAAACAGCTTAGCAGTAGTTAAAGGTATGAATTATTAAATTCTAAATCATTAATGCAAAGGTATAATGCTTTTCATAGGACTTCGAGGTCCTATGTTTGGTTCTTTTCGTGGTCATGGGTGTGTACTGTCGACGAGTTGTAAAATGGATTAAAATTTCACAGAGAAAACCAGTTTCCTCTAGATTGCATATATCTCTCTCCAACTAGCACACAATACAGGTTCAGTACATCCTACTAACTGAATCCAGCCATCAAAACAAAGTTGAGAAACACAAATCGAAAATGTTAATCATCAGTTTCAAATTCGTTTGAACACTACGATCATATATGCTTGGAGATAATAATGTGTTTTCTCTTCAGTAAAATTTGTAATCTTTCGAAAAAATTGAAATGTACTTCAGTCATGAATAGTCTAAGAAGACATTTATTTTCATATAAATGAGTTACCTTGTAATATGATATTTTTCCTTCGTGGCTGTGGATCAACATATCCGTAAAGTTCACTGTTCTGTCCTTTATAAATTGATTGTAATTGTTCTGCATTGCATACATTGTTAATATTGGTTGTAGTTTTATTATTTCGATTATTTATGGGCATAGAATCATGATGAATTAACGCTACTTCTCCAGCGTTTAATGCCACAGCTGGTGTTGATGATATTATTGCTGTTGAAGTTGACGAAGACATTGGGAGAGTACGAAAAAAATTATTCCCAACTAATGATTGATGATGCGTATCAAATAACATGGTACTCATTGGTGAACAGTTAAATTCTTCAACAGGATGTGGTGTTACAGTTTTTGTTGAGAATGTTGAATGAGAATTATTCACTATTTCATGTAATGGTTGTCCAACCTGTGAACCACTTCTGTTATAGATATCCTGCATTGTTGTGTCATTTGATCGAATAGTCATACCAACCATCTATATTAAACACATATATAGATATTTAGACATAAATTATAGAATAATTCAACTATATATGTATATCATACTGATTTTTAACAGTTCTGCATCATCGAATAGTTTTTGGGAATGTTTATCATCTGTGAAGTCAGCGAGAAAGAGAGCGAATATGGTT